ATAAACTGTCATAGAAAGAAATTAAGAAAAATAATCCCATTTACAGTTGCATCAGAAAGAATTAAAATACTTGGAATGAAGTTAACCAAGGAGGTGAAAGACCTGTACCCTGAAAACTATAAGACATTAATGAAGGAAATTGAAGAAAATACAAATAATGGAAAAATATTAACCCCTTATTAAATGTATTTATGAGTTGAAAGAATATTGTTAAAAGTCTATATATTACTACTCAAAGAAATGTGTAGATTCAGTGAAGTCACTATCAAAATTCCAATAACATTTACCACAGAAGTAGAATGAACAATGCTAAAATTTGTATGAAACCTTTAAAGACCCCACATAGCCAAAGCAGTCTTGATAAAAAAGAACAAAGCTGGAAGCACCATGCGCCCAGATTTCAAACTATATTACAAAGTTGTAGTAATCAAAACTATGGTACTGGCGTAAAAATGGATGCATAGATCAATGGAACAGAATAGAATGCTCTTACATAGAAAGAAATAGAAATAAACTCACACATATACAGTCAATTAATTTACAAGAAAGAAGCCAAGAATATATGATCAGAAAAGAACAATCCTTTCAGTAAATGGTGTTGGGAAAATGGAACAACCACATGCAAAGGAATGAAACTGCATCATTATCTTATGCCTACACAAAAATTAACTGAAAATGGATTAAAGATGTGAAAATAAAATCTGAAACCATAAAACTCCTAAGAAAAAGCATAGATAGTCAGCTCCTTGACACTGGTTTTTTGGATTTGACACCAAAAGCCAAGGTAACAAAAGCAAAAACAGGTGGAACTACATCAAACTAAAAGGCTTCTTTCTGCATGGCAAAGGAAATCATCAACAAAATGAAAAGACAACCTATCCAAAGGAAGAAAATACTTGCAAATCATGTATTTGATAAGGGATTAATGTCAAGATATGAAAAGAACTTTGTCAATTCAATAGCAAAAAAAAAAAAATCCAATTTAAAAAAGGACAGAGGATCTGAATAGACATTTTTCCAAAGAAAACATAGCTAACAGGTCCATGAAAAGGTGCTCAACATCACTAATCTCAGAAATGCAAATCAAAACCACAATGAGATATCACTTCACACTTGTTATCAAAATGACAACAAATAAGTTTTGGCGAGGATTTGGAAAAAAAAGAACACTGTTGATGGCTATGCAAACTGGTGCAGCCACTATGGAAAGCATTATGGAGGTTCCTCAAAAAGTTAAAAATAAAAGTACCATATGATCCAGCAATCCACTTCTGGACATTTATCCAGAGGAAACAAAAATATCAACAAAGAAAGATATCTGCACCACCATGTTCATTGCAGCATTATTTACAGTTGCCAAGACATAGAAGAAACTTAGGTGTCATCTATCAGTGGATGAATGAATTAGAAAATGTTATATAGGACTTCTCTGGTGGTCCATTGGTTCAGACTCTGCATTCCCTCTGCAATCCAAAGCCTCATCATGGTGATGAGGAAGCAGGTCTATAAAATCATTTCTTTAATCTTTCCTATTCGGCTTCTTCCAAATGGGCCATTTGGGGATTCTCTCATCATAAGGGGGCCACCATTTAGCTGAAACAGAAAAAGGAGCATGCCTTAATGACACTAGAGTATGCTTAATGAAGCCTGCAAATTTCTCCCTCCCTTTCTTTCCTCTCCCCCTCTCCCTCTCCTTCTCCTTGTTCCTTTCAAGCTCACTTCAAAAGTTGACCTGAATCTCCAGCAGAGACCCTGAACCAGTCCAACCCAGAGCTTAGGGCCCAGAGATGCACCACAGCAATGATTTGCATCTCCACGTTATACTCACATTGCTTACAAAAGCCAGTAGTTCTACCTTCTGCTGTGATACACAGTTGTTGAGAAGACTTGACTTTAGCTTCAGACAAACCTGCTCTGACACCTGTCTACCCCTCTCACCTACCATGTGACCTTAGGCAAATTGCTTAACCCCTCAGGTTCTTCATGGGGAGAGTGGGGCCAGTAACAATTGGTACCTCATAGGACTATTGTAGAAATGGTGAGATAAAATATGAAAGTGCTTAGAACAGTGCCTGCCACCTGGTCCATGCTCAATCAACTGTAGCTATAATACTTGATGTGGAAACCACAAACCTCTAGTGAGAAGACACCCAACCTTGGTGAACTCCAAGGAGCAGGAACCCTACATCATGCATCTCATATCTATAGTATCTGAAACATTTAAAAGACTAGTTCCCGCCACAGAGGTAAAAGGACGGTGTGTGGGCTAATTTGGAGTTAACCACTCCTTGGAACTCAAATGTTCTAATGGGGATTTTTTGTGGCCTGAGCAATACATGCAAAAACACAGGTGTCATTTTAAAACACAGTGAACTAAAATGTGAAACAGTGACTACCCAGCAACAAGCCAGGAACACCTGCTGGTGTCTGTTAGATGCTACCACGTGGCACAAGCCTGTTGTTTCTTCCTGCATCATTGAGTTGATAAACTTTTTTATGTGACTAAGATACTAGTTGTCATCACAACTTAAAAAAAAAAAAGACTCCATTTTCCTGATGCAAGGGGCCCAGGTTCAATCCCTGGTGAGGGAACTAGATCCTGTGTGCTGCACCTAAGACCCACAGCTAAATTTAAAAAAATATGTTACATACACACACACACACAAAATATTACTCAGCCATAAAAAGAAGGAACTCTTGCCGTTTGTGACAACATGGATGGACTTTGAAGGCATTATGCTAATAAGTTACATAAGAAAGACAAATACCTTATTGTATCACTTATATACATTTCAAAGACATCACTTTGCTGACAAAGGTCCAACATAGTCAGTGCTATAGTCTCTCCAGTAGTCATGTACAGATGTGAAAGTTGGATCATGAAGAAAGCTGAGCGCTGAACAATTGATGCTTTCCAGTTGTGGTGCTAGAGAAGAGTCTTGAGAATCCCTTGGACATCAAGGAGACCAAACCAGTCAATCCTAAAGGAAAACAACCCTGAATACTCATTGGAAGGACTGATGCTGAAGCTTAAGCTCCAGTACTGTGGCCACCTGATGCAAGGTGCCAACTCATTGAAAAAGACCCTGATACTGGGAAAGATTGAAGGCAGGAGAAGGGGGTGACAGAGGATGAGATGGTTAGATAGCATTACCAATTCAACAGACATGAATTTTGAGCAAACACCAGGGGATGGTGAGGGGCAGGGAGGCCTGGTGTGCTACAGTCCATGCGGTCAGAAAGAGTCGGACGTGATGTAGCAGCTGAACAACAACATTTCTAAAAGAAACGAAACAAAAAGTTGAACATACAATCAATGGTTGCCAGGGGTGGGGTGGGGGGGATTGGTGAAATGGATGAAGGTTATCAAAAGGGGCAAACTTCCAGTTAAAAAGTCCTGGGAATATAATATACAGCATGGTAACTATGATTAATACTACTATATTGTATATTTGAAAGTTGCTCAAGTAGTGGTAGTGGTTTAGTTGCTAAGTCATGTCCAACTCTTGCAACCCCATGGACTTTAGCCCACCAGACTGCTCTGTCCATGGGATTCTCCGGGAAAGAATACTGAAGTGGGTTGTCATTTCCTTCTCCAAAAGTTGCTAAGAGTAGATCTTAAAAGTTCTCAACATAAGAAAAAAAAAATTTTGTAATGATGTGTGGTAATGAACGTTAGCTAGATTTATTATGGTGATCATTTCACAATATATACAAATATGATCCCTGGGTTTGGAAGATCTCCTGGAGGAGGAAATGGCAGCCCACTCCAGGAAGATCTCCTGGAGGGAGAAATGACAACCCACTCCAGTATTCTTGCCAGAAGAATGCTATGGACAGAGGAGCCTGGTAGGCTACAGTTCATGGAGGCACAAAGAGTCAGACATGACTGAGCATCTGAGCAACCCCTACCATAGTCTATCTTTGATTGGAGTGTGGGGTTTGATAAACTTTTAATGTCTTATTTGTCTGTTTATAAGTAATTTAGCAGTATTGAATCTGAGCAAGACTTTGGTTGTGTTAGGGAGTGGCAAGAGGCATCCTGCCCCAAGAATGATTTTGGCCCTATATTTTAAGGTTAAGTCATTCACTTGGTAAACACTTACTAAGCATGTACAATATGCTGGGCCCACAGCATTGAATAAGATGGTAATCTGCCACACCATAATGGATATAATAGGAAGAAAGACATTTTCATCAATAATGACTACACAATTTGTGGATTCGTATGTAGTAGAAGTTAGTTAAGGACATTTTGAAGGTCTTCCCTGTCACTTTTTACTGAAGGAAAGGGTTCAGGAAGTATTGGAAATTGTACATTGAGTCATACTTTGGAAAATATGCAAATACCACTACTTACTAGCTCTAGAGAAAATTCTCCTTGGTCTGTTTCCTCATGAAAGATAGAGGTTTCATAGGGTGGTTAGGAGGATTAAATTAAGACAATGAATATAGTGTGTTTAATACAGTTCTTGGCACAGAATGAATAATGTTAATATTATACTTGCTTTGTGCTTTCTTCACAGAGAAGTATCTACTAGATCTAAAGCTATTACTTGTAATTGGAGAGATTCATTATGATGTCAGCCAACAAGTTCTTTCAATACAGAAAAAAGGAAAAATAGAAAAGATAAAATTTTAGTTTAATACCTGTACTCAGCACTGTGGTAGAGGCCTTTGTACTATATAAAATAAGTATAAATGCAGTTTTATAACTAGATGATGTTCATCAGACATGACACATCTGAGGGTATGAATCATCCAAGGAATATTAGTAAGAAGGGAATTAAAAAAAAAAGAAGGGAATTAAACATTCTCTAGGAGAAAAGGGGGGCTTCCATGGTGGCTCAGATGGTAAGAATCCACTGCAATGAGGGAAACATGGGTTCGATCCCTGGGTTGGGAAGATCCCCTGGAGGAGGGCATGTTAACCCACATGAGTATTCTTGCCTGGACAATCGCCATAGACAGAGGAGCCTGGCGGGCTACAGTCCATGGGGTCACAAAAAGATGGACATGACTGAGCGACTAAGCACAGCACAATACAGGGGGAAAAAGGCCACCCAAGATGGAGAGGTCATGGTGGAGAGTACTGACAAAATCTGATCCATTTGAGAAAGGAATGGAAACCACTTCAGCATTCTTGCCTTGAGACCCCCATTAACAGTACGAAAAGGCAAAAAAATATGACACTGAAAGATGAGCCCCTCAGGTCGGTAGGTATCCAATACGCTTACTGGAGAAGAGCAAAGAAATAGCTCCAGAAGGAATGAAGAGCCTGAGGCAAAGTGGAAACAGTGCCCAGTAGTGGATGTGTCTGGTGGTGAAAGTAAAGTCTGATGCTGTAAAGAACAGTGTTGCATAGGAACCTGGAATGTTAGGTCCATGAATCAAGGTAAATTGGAAGTGGTCAAACAGGAGATGGCAAGAGTGAAGATCGACATTTTAGGAATCTGTGAACTAAAATGGACAGAGATGGGCAAATTTAATTCAGATGGCCATTATATCAACTACTTGGACAAGAATCCCTTAGAAGAATGGAGTAGCCCTCATAGTCAACAAAACAGTCTGAGATGCAGTCCTTGAGTGCAATCTCAAAAACAACAGAATAATCTCAGTTCATTTCCAAGACAAACCATTCAGTATCACAGTAATCCAAGTCTATGCCCCAACCACTAATGCCAAAGAAGCAGAAGTTAAATTGTTCTATGAAGACCTACAAGACCTTCAAGAACTAACACCAAAAAAAGATGTCCTTTTCATCATAGGGAAATGGAATGCAAAAGTAGGAAGTAAGGAGATACCTGGAGTAACAGGTAAGTTTGGCCTTGGAGCACAAAATGAAGCAGGACAAAAGCTAACAGTTTTGCCAAGGGAACGTGTTGTTCATAGCAAATACCCGCTTCCAGCAACACAAGAGATGACTGCACATGGGCATCACCAGATGGTCAATATTGCAATTAGATTGATTATATTCTTTGCAGCCAATGATGGAGAAGCTCTATACAGTCTGCAAAAACAAGACCGGGAGCTGACTGTGGCTCAGATCATAAACTCCTTATTGAGAAAATCAGGCTTAAATTGAAGAATGTAGGGAAAACCACTAGACCATTCAGGTATGACTTAAATCAAATCCCTTACAACTATACAGTGGAAGTGACAAATAGATTCAACGGATTAGATCTGATAGAGTACCTGAAGAACTATGGACGGAGCTTCATGACATTGTACAGGAGGCAGTGATCAAGACCATCCCCAAGAAAAAGAAATGCAAAAAGGCAAAATGGTTGTCTGAGGAGGCCTTACAAATAGCTGAGAAAAGAAGAGAAGCTAAAGGCAAAGGAGAAAAGGAAAGGTATATCCATCTGAATGCAGAGTTCCAGAGAACAGCAAGGATAGATAAGAAAGCTTTCCTCAGTGATCAATGCAAAGAAATAGAGGAAAACAAAAGAATGGGAAAGACTAGAGCTCTCTTGAAGAAAATTAGAGATACCAAGGGAACATTTCATGCAAGATGGGCACAATAAAGGACAGAAACATTATGGATCTAACAGAAGCAGAAGATATTAAGAAGTGGTGTCAAGAATACACAGAAGAACTATACAAAAAGAGGTCTTAATATCCCAGATGACCTCAATAGTGTGATCACTCACCTAGAGCCAGACATCCTGGAGTGTGAAGTCAAGTGGGCCTTAGGAAGCATTACGACGAACAAAGCCAGTGGAGGTAATGGAATTCCAGCTGAGCCACTTCAGACCCTAAAAGATGATGCTGTGAAAGTGCTGCCCTCAATATGCCAGCAAATTTGGTAAACTCAGCAGTGGCCGCAGAACTGGAAAAGGTCAGTTTTCATTCCAATCCCAAAGAAAGGTGATGTCAAAGAATGTTCAAACTACCACACAAATGCACTCATTTCACATGTTAGTAAAGTAATGCTCAAAATCCTTCAAGCTAGGCTTCAACAGAGTGTGAACCAAGAGCTTCCAGGTGTACAAACTGGATTTAGAAAAGGCAGAGGAACCAGAGATCAAATTGCCAACATCTGTTGGAGTGTAGAAAAAGCTAGAGAGTTCCAAAACAGAATCTACTTCTGCGTCATTGACTATGCTAAAGCCTTTGACCGGGTAGATCACAACAAACAGTGAAAAATTCTTAAAGAGATGGGAATACTAGACCACCTTACCAGCCTCCTGTGAAACCTGTATGCAGGTCAAGTAGCAACAGTTAGAACCAGACGTGGGATAATGAACTGGTTCAAAATTGGAAAAGGAGTATATCAGGGCTGTGTATTGTCACCCTGCTTGTTTAACTTACATGCAGAGTACATCACATGAAATGCCAAGCTCGTAGAAACACAAGCTGAAATCAAGATTGCCAGGAAATATATCAATAACCTCAGATATGCAGATGATACCACCCTTATGGCAGAAAGTGAAGAGGAATTAAAGAGCCTCTTGAAGGTGAAAGAAGAGAGTGAAAAGCTGGCTTGAAACTCAACATTCAAAAAAAATGAAAATCAAAAAAAGATCATGCATCCAGTTCCATCACTTCATGGCAAATAGATGGGGAAACAATGGAAACAGTGACAAACTTTATTTTCTTGGGCTCCAAAATCACTGCAGATGGTGACTGCAGTCATGAAATTAAAAGACACTGGCTCCTTGGAAGGAAAGCAGTGACAAACCTAGACAGCATATTAAAAAGCAGAGACATTACTTTGCCTTCAAAGGTCCACACAGTCAAAGCTGTGGGTTTTCCAGTAGTCATGTACAGATGTGAGAGCTGGACAATAAAAAAGGCTGAGCGCTGAAGAACTGAACTGTGGTGTTGGAGAAGGCTCTTCAGAGTCCCTTGGAATGCAAGGAAATCAAACCACTCAATCCTAAAGGAAATCAACCCTGAATATTCACTGCAAGGACTGATGCTGAAGCTGAAGTTCCAGTGCTTTGGCCACTTGATGTTTAGAACTGACTCATTGGAAAACACCCTGATGCTGGGAAAGATTGAAGGCAGGAGAAGGGGATAACAGAGGATGAGATGGTTGGATGGCATCACCAACTCAGTGGACATGAGTTTGAGCTAACTCCAGGAGATGGTGAAGGACAGGGAAGCCTGGCGTGCTGCAGCCTATGGGGTCATAAAGAGTCAGACATGGCTGACTGACTGAACAATAGCAAAGAGAAAAAGAAATATTTTTGTTAAAAAGGGAGTATGGCTAGGGACTTCCCTGGTGATTCAGTGACTAAGAATTGGTACTTCAAATGCAAGGGACATGGGTTCAAGCATTCAGTCAGTGGTCAGGGAACTAAAATCCTGTATGCTGCTAAGTACAGTCAAAAAATTTAAAAAACTAAAAAAGAATAAAAACTGGATGGAAAAAGAAACTGTGTTTTTTATTCTTGGATACATTTGATTTTTTTCACTTTAAGTCCACATATACTTCTATAAGAATGATCCTTGTAATAAAGAGTTAAAGAAAAGGAATAAAAAATGGAAACAACAAAAGAAGGGGAGTATGTCTATAGAAAGGACCTGGAGATCCTGGGAAATAATGAGTTGAATATGTAATATATCAATGTTAAAACATCTTTCCTGGTGGTGCAGTGGTAAAGAATCCACCTGCCAATGCAGGAGACAGAGGAGACTTGGATTTTATTCCTGGGTGGGGAAGATCCCCTGGAGTAGGAAATGGCAACCTACTCCAGTATTCTTGCCTAGAGAATTCCATGGATAGAGGGGCATGGTGGGTTACAGTGCATGAGGTCACAAAGAGTTGGACACGACTGAGCACACTCACCATCTGCCAGAATTGAAAAGTTAAATGACTGAAACACTAGCCCCTTGATCCTGGGACAATTAGGGTCTTCTGACTTACTGGATATAGTCCACCCCACAGAGTCCCAGAAGAAAATAGACTCAATAATTATACCACATTGAATCTGAAGAGATATCTAATCTGAATAGGGTTTTATTTTTCGCTTTAAAAAACTCATTTCTTGAATGCACATTTATAAAAGGCCATATTAGAACAATGAGTCACATAAACAGTTGTTCTTATATAGTAGGTAGCTATTGCTTGAAAATCCAAGTGCAGGTACAAATGCAGGTACAAATAGTGGTATACGTCAAACAACTTAGATGAATGATGGAATTTCCTGAAAAAGATTCTGGTACCTGGAAAAATTAGCCCAAGACAAGGATGTTGATGTCAATAGACACATGTGAAGAGTTCAAATTTAAATGTGGAAAAGCTGTAAGTTATTTAATGTATAATTAAAACCATAAAACCTTAATGACTAAAGTGAGTGACAAAAGTGACAGAATCCCTCCTCCTACAGTAGTATATCTTTATAGAGTATATAATCGTAGTCAGAGCCACTGGAGTTATCAATTCCCGCTTCACCTTTGCTTCAGTGAGCCTGTCGTTCCCACTCAGTGCTTGAGGTGTTTGATGTATTAGGCTCCTTTCTCCCATTGCTTGTCTTATGGCTCTGATTCTTCCTCTTCCTCCTCTTCCTCCTCTTCCTCCTCTTCCTCCACTTCCTCCTCTGCCTCCCCTTCTGGAGGTGCCTCTTCCGGGACAGCTGCTGCTGCGGGAGCTGCTGCTGTGGGAGCTGCTGCCGCGGCAGCCACTGCCACAGGAGCCGCTGCTGGGACAGCTGGTTCCCCTTTTGGTTCAGCAGCTTCTCCTTTTTCCCTTTTACGAAACAGGCAGGCACAAAGAATTATAAGTAGTAATAATAAGATCAAAAATAATGCAATTAATGAGGTTAACGTGCCTGCGATAGAATTAGTGGCTGAGGGAGCGGTAGCATTTCCTCCACCTCCAGATTCCGTTCCACTATTAACCGAACTAGGGATGCCACTGTCCACACTACCACCAGTTCCTGGGTTTTTGCAGTCAGGAGGGGAAAAACCATCATCGCAATGGCAGTTCTTTTTATTGTTGCAAACTCCTTTCTCGTTACACTTTACCTTTATATCACAGTCGTACCCAAGAACACTGACATCTGAGCAGGTGAAGTTCATGCAGACTTTCCCTGAGCCACAAAGACTGCCCTTCCTTGTATCTCCAGAATCAGGGACATCCTGAACACCATGCAGATCCATGGACCAGCAATAGTCATCTGCATAAGGGGTCTGAAGTAATGTATAATTGACTTCAATCTCTGGGAACGTTTGAACATTTGTACATATCATTTTCCCACAAAATATATTCTCATTTTCACATCTAGTATATGCTGAGCCACCGGCACTGGGAATACCACAGTTTCCAAATCTGTTCCCTTTTCCATTAAATGACCGAAAACAGTCTTCTGAAGCAGCTTTTGCAGGAAACCCATACATTTCAGAACACTGAGCATCAGCAGACCTGCATATACCCTGAACACAGTAGTAACCACCCTTACACTGTGAACCATCAAGCTTGTAGGTGTCTGGGGGACACACCCCAGAGGTACCAAGACAAAATTCTGGAAGGTCACATTCTCCTGAAGCAGGACGGCAACTGCGTCCAGTTTCTTCATATTGGCATGTAGCATTACAGCAGGGTCCAGGATTACACAATGCAGTCGGCTTCAGTTTACATGATGTGTCACAACATTTGTCCAAGTCACATGCATTACCACAGTCACACTGCTCATCTCCTTCTACAATGCCATCGCCACAGTTTGAATCCCTCCGTAAGCGGCCTTTGTGCCCAGGCTTGTTAAACAGGCAGGCCCCCTTGTGTTCCCAGAGGAACTGGTGGAAGAAGTCAGAGCTGCAGTTGCTGAAGCCACTTTCTTTAGTGATGTTTTCACGCATGAGGCAGAAGGGCCTGTCTTTACAAATGCAGGCCGAATGGTCGTGCCGAATACCCAAGTTGTGTCCAAGCTCGTGGACCATGAGTGCTGCAAACAGGAGGACATCCTCGTGGTGGAAGGATTCCACGGCTGCTGCAAAATCACTTGAGCAGGCACCACTGAGAAATGCCTGCCCCATATCCTCTTTAGGATGCTGTCCCACGATCATGTGGGCAACATCATGCTTCACACGGTGGAAGAGCTTCTCTTGTCTCCAGCTGTTGAAATTCCTGAGTGCAACTTGCAGGTCCACGGGGACCTCTGTGAGGTCCCCCTCAGTCCAAATCTCCACTCCAGCCAGCACCACCTCTGTGTTTATTCCCCTTGTGAAGCTGTTGGCCAGAGCTATGATGTCCATCACTTTCTGGACTGTCTGATTGATGTCACCGCCCCACATTTGGAACCGCTGGTTGTTGACCACGACAAACATCTCCACGTACTTGGTACGTGACCACAGGTCGGATGTCCCGTGCCAGCTGTGAGGCTTGGCGCTCTGTGGTTGCCGGCCGGTGGACGCCACTTGGCTGTCTTTGGATGTGACGCTGCAGGAGACTTGAGCTTCGTGGCCCATGGCGTACAACACGTGCTCAAACCGTTTGGCAGAGTGCACGGGCTCAACGCCATAGGACTTTTCCTCCTTAATCAGGAGGCCCCTGAGGCCTGAACAGGTGTTGACAGAAACAAAAGAACCTGGGACTCCTTCTATGTAGCCTTCATAGTGACAGTCCTGTGAGATGAGAGGCATTTCTTGCCCCAGGATGCCATTGTGATAGCTGAAGACCGGGAAGTTATCCACAAAATAGTCTCTCTTCACCGTCAGGTGAATCAGCTGCCTCTGGCCCTGCATAAATAGCATATAGGAGAGCTTTTCCACTTGGTCTTCCCTTCCTTCCACTGTCAGACTCTTGGGAATGACTATTTCATAGGAAGAGTGATATAGTGAGCCCAGGTCACAATACAGGCTTGGCAGAGAAATCAGTACCAAGAACAACAGGATCCCCAACCTGGCACATGAAAGTCCTGGCACCAGGGCCAGTCTCAAGCCCTTCATCTGAGGAGCCCAAGTTTGAAGCACTCGGATAGCCTCAGACATAGCCACTTGCCTTTTCGGTAGAGAAGGCAGTATAGAGGCAGAGTCTCTCCCAGATGCTGCCACTGGCGTGGCCCTGGTGAGTCCGTTGATGATGCAGGGCTTGTGTCCAGTGGCAGCAGCTGCTCTCCCTGACACACACACTGTCTGTCACAGGTACTCACTTCAGCTCTGTGCTGGCTGCACAAAGGGTGGCTCTTGCTGCCTCTCAGAGGTCAGCCTCTGGCTGTGTCCTTTCTGGTCTTTCGGATCTCTCTGTTATGCTTCAGATAGTGTCTTTTCTCTGTGACTTTCCTCCACACCTTCAACTCTAGTAGTTAAGGTCTTCCTGACATTAGGAAGAGCTGTAATCATGAAGTGGGACTGCAAACTCTAAAGTGAAAGACTGTACCTTGAGAAAGGAAACAAAACCTCCATGCCTTCCTCAACTGTACCGCAAGGAACACCCCTCCCCCACTCCTCCTATCGTCCGTTGCTCAGCTGCCTCCTAATGTTCTAGACCAGGAGGCTTGGAGGTCTTCAGTGGGCACACTCCATTGCCCATTTCCTCTCTTCTAAAACTCTTGTTCTGTATCACATGGACATTGTAACTAGATGTAACATGGCATTATAGATGCAATGCACAACAGACCAATCTGTCAGATAAAGCCAGTGTGGTACCTGCCTTGTGCCCCCAGATCGATAAACCCCAGTGTGCTGGTCACCCGTGGGACAAATGACATTCCCTACTTTTTAAAAACATCATCAGAATTCAGTTTATCAAGTTCTGTTTATAACACGGTGTGTATTTATAACACTAAAAGTGTGTATGGGAGATGCCAACAGAGCAGTCTCCCCTGTGTGCAGTTATCGTAACCTTGGTTGGTAAGTATCTCCAGACCTATTACCTGGGCTGGTCCTGGCATAGCAGCATCTTAAGACCATGCCTGTTGAAGACTAGGATTCCTGAAGTCTCCCCTGTGTTTGTATATGACTTCTGTGTGTTCGGTGGCCACTTCTGTTTGTTCCTCCTTATACACTCTCCCAGTTCTAGAAGAGTGCTTGTTGAAGAGTAGACGAACAAGAATCATTGAATGAATAAATAGCTTCCAGGTATGGTTGCTGCGGTGTCTTATTTGCTATATCTTGCTATATCTTTCTACTTGGCTTCGTGCCTGCCCTGAATATCTGTAAATGTCTTCAGAAAAACCCATGAAAACCATGCTGGCACAGACATGATCTCAAAATGTACTTCTTTCTACATTTTGCTGTTCAGTTCACTCTCCTAATTTCTTCTGGCCTCATATTTCACTGAGAAAAATATTAATAGAAGCAATCAAAAGACTACCTCCACATATAGACACTAGCTGAGTCCACTAGCTGTATCTGAATGTTCCCCCCACTGTCGTGAATAAATTGTCCTTGCTCCAGTCTAAGACCAATCCTTTTACTTGTGTGTGGAATTTCTTTCCCTTTTAATTTCTCATGAACTACGCTCTTGCATTTCTCCCTTCTCTCTTTTACATCTTCAGCATGTGTTTGTCTGCTGGATCCAGTCTTATTATTTACTGTAATTTTCTCATCTTTATAAAACCATCCCTCTCAGCCCATGTCACCTTCCAGTCACCATCTAGTTTATTATCCTTTTCTTTGTTTTACAATGAAATTCTTTGAAAGAGTGTACAGACATTCTGTTCTAATTTGTATCACTCCTTTATTTTCTTAAGTTTTTTATTTTGACTCCTAACACAGTCACATAGTATGCATAAAACATAAATGTGCTTTTCAGTGAATTAGTAGAATGAAAACAATTAAGCCAGACACAAAAGGACAGATATCATGTGATCTCACATATATGAGATTCCACATATATGCAAGTTCTTAGAGACATGCAGAATAGATGTTACCTGGGGTGGGGTAATAGCAGAATGGGGAGTTCTTGTATGATGGGCGCAGACTTTCAGTTTGGGATGATGAAAATTTCTGGAAGTGGATATTGATAATGGTTGCACAACTGTATGAATGAACTTAATGCCAATGAACTGTACACTTAAAAATGGTTAAGATGGTTGTTTAATGTTGTGTGTATTTTACTGAAAAAGATAAACAGGAAAGGAGGGAGAAGGGGAGAGAGAAATAGCTATGTAAGTACAACTCTTGTGAGGTAATATAAGTTTTAGCTTCATAGAAGTCATCTATGTGCCATTGCCAATCACATGCCCTCCTGCTTCAGTGAGATCATTATCTTGTCTTTATGGTAACTATTTCTTCACCTTCTTGATTGTTTTTTGCTTTCTAAATGTGTGCTTCCCAAAATTATGTTATTTTAGTTTAGTTGTCTTTTAATAACAGCTTTATTGAGATAGAAAGTCATATACCAGAACACTCATCCTTCAAAGTGTACTTTTGAGCGGTGTGTGTAGTGTGTTCAGAAAGTTATGCAGTCGTGTTCCAAGCAGTTTTAGAACATTTTCCTCATGCCCAACTCCCCTGTTCATTCATCGTCACGCTCCATTCTCAGCTCCCTCCAGCCCTGGTTTCCACTGCTCCCTTTCCTGTCTCTATGATTTTTGTCTATTCTGGATAGTCCATAGCAATGGAGTCCTGTATTGTAGTTGTAGTCTTCTGTGACTGGCTTATTTCACCTGTTTTTCCACGTCATCACTGGAATTTGTTATTTGCCTTTTTGATTGCAGTGATCCTAGTGGAAGTAAGGGGGTATCTTATTACAGTTGTGATTTGCAGTTCCTTAATAATTAGTGCTGTTGCACAGTTTTTCATATTCTTATTACTCATTTATATATTCATTGGATAAGTGTCTATTCACATCATTTGCCTTTTTTAAACAGGGTCTTTCTTTTTGAGT